TTTTGATCTGCACGATTTTGATATCTGTCTGATTCTGTTTTGGTTTCTGTACGGATTTGGTTTGAAGTGGTTGGTTTTGGATTCTGGAAGTTTTGATTGGAGGTTTGTCGCTTTGCTGAGCTGTTGAGCTCACCCTTGTTTTTTGCGTGGTTTTCAGGTTCTGGCAAAGGGAAGGAAGTCTTGGATTAGAGTTCTGGGTCTGATCAGTTATAGGTATTTTGTACTTTTTAATTTTTGTACAGTCATGGCTTTTCTTCCTTGTTCTTTCTGTCAGCCATGTACTGTATTTGTAGATGATTGTTTTGAGGAAGAGAAAAATATAGATGATTTATTCCGCTGTATTTGATGTTTCATAGTAGCTCTGTGCGTCAGTTTTGAGTTGAAATATTTGGAAGAATCAGTTCCGAAGCAAATTCCAAAGCGAAATCCTGGTCTGTTTGTTTGGCTGGTCGCGGCTCGGTGCGGGCAGGATCCGTCCTGGTCGGGTCGGGTCGTGACATTAACGGTAATAAGTTCTTATCAAAATTGGTCATAGGACTAATGACGGGATGATAGGATAACATGGGTTCACTACCCCCGATCATCACTAACACCAAGCTTTACATTATTCATTTTACTTTAAAAAAAAATTAAATACACTACCATATTTACAATCATTGATGTGAGAAGAGTGATGAGATCTTACTAGCACAAGATGATATGATCGTCGATATGGTGACTATATTCTTATTCCTGACAAGTAACAAGATTGACGGTGATTTGTGACGTGTGAGGGGCAATGAGTTCTTGCCCATAAAGGTGATAGGACTAGCAATATGATGATGGGATGATAGGGATTCGTTTCCCCCAACCATCATCAACGCGCTTTATATTGCATTCATCTTACTCCAAACAACTTCAAAATTTTCAAATGCATTATTAAGAACCAAACTCTATTAGAGATATTTGAATTTTTTGAATCAAATAATGAATACAAATTATAATAGAAAAGGAAAGACAAAAGAATTGCTTGAGACTGTCTCAAACAAAAACTAAACCCCTTATGATTATACATTCTATTTTACAATTTATGATCTATTAGCATTACAATATAGAGCCCAATAGCCATAGATGCAAGAATATCCAATAGCCTATCAGACCCAGCCTTGCTCCAGGCTTACTCATCAATATCCTTCCTCCAGAAACCCTGCAGCAAATCCATTCACTTCAATACAAATTGTTTGAATTTATTAAAAAAATAATCTGAGAAGGTATTCAAATGCAGTAATGAAAAATAAATCTATTATTTTGTAAAGAATCTTAAAGAAGTTTGGTTCAGATCATACCAAATTCCATCAACCCTATCTGCAATCACTCTCCCTTGCTTTGGAATCAGGCCAGATGTGTTCAGAGATTTGAACAGATGACCTGCAAGAAAATGGAACTGGTGAGTTGCATTGGAGAAGACAACCATTTTGCAACTTGTAAGGCAGTGCTATCAAACCTTTCTCATCAGTTTCATGGGAAGTAATCAACGGCTCCGACTCGGAATCAATGTTGAGAACAAGATGTTCACTCGAGCTTTTTCGTGTTGTTCGCACGTGCGCGGAGGCGGGAGCAGCGGGTTTTGAGCTCATTCCCACAGATCCCTGTATTTGCTGCAAAAATGAAAGTGTTGGAATGAGGATGTAGATGAAATTAGAAAGGTCAGATTTGTATGTTGAAAAGTTCATCCTTGAACTGTGGCAGGTAAGCTTGATTGGAAGCAATGAAATGATGGTGAAAGTACAAATTTATATGATTTTAAAGATAGATAATTTGGCTCAATTGTGATTATAAAATCAGTGCTTAGTTCATAATATATCAAAAGATATGCAAAAGATTAATTTGTGTTGGTTGCATAACGGTAGGCAGAAATTGTACTTCCAAGTTCTAAACACTCTAATACTTAGGTTTTGTTTGGGACGGCTTTCTTGCCGCTTCTTAAAGTTAATTTTTAGTACAAAAATTAATTTTTTTTTTTAAAAAAGCTGCTTTAAGAAGCAATAAAAAAGTCGTCCCAAACGAAATATTAATATTTGGTGGAACTCCCTTACATAAACTAAATGATAAGAGACTAGGCATTACATTTAGTGGAGCTTCCTAGACAAGTAGCATTCAATGATTGATACATTTACAAGTAAACTAAAAAAGTAAATCCTACTAAAAGCCAAGGATAAAACCTTAAAAAAATTTGAGCTCTGCAATTCCATAGGATCTTTACCAAAGATGGTCTTCAATGCTTGAGAATCAATGGCAATCATGAGATGAGCAAGGCAGCATAAGGTGATTGTCCTCTCTCTAGTACGTGGAGTAGCGTAGGATGGCGAGTATGTTGAAGCAGCTTGGCAGACTTTAAGAGGCTATAGAGGAAATGCGAGAGCATGCGAGGATGAATGGAAAGCAATTGGTGGTTGGTGGTTGGGGGTTGGTGCCTTAGTGGTATGTCCGAATGTGGTTAGTATAGGTGAGAAAAACAACAAGTCCAAAAGCATGGGCAGGTAGGTGCAAGTACAAACTAGTTAGATATGGACAATGAGGCACAAAAGCGACTGGATGTGGCGAGGGCCAGGGGCTCACCGCAGCATGAGAAGTGAAGCTATCAGGATAAGGGCACAATGGATATGTGATGGGGGTTATTTGGTTTTGCATGTGAAGATGTGAGTAGAAAACAAACACAACACATGAATGAGGTTTCCGTAGGGCGGCCAATTTGTGTAGTTTGAGGTTGATATAAGGGGGGTTACAAATGGTTAGCAAAGAAATGACAATGGACACAACGAGGCACCGATTAAGAGTAGTAGAGAGGTAACCCACTATAATACCACTTTTTGGAGAAATAATAGGAGAAAAAAAAAAGGAAAGAGAGAGAGATTATATAGCAACTTAAGAGAGAAAATCTCAATTTTACTCGATACTCATTCAATCCTCCAAACTAGTCCTAGAGGTCTCTAATTATAGAGAGCGAGCCCTAAGGATTAAAAGCAAATAAAGTAACAACACAATTAATAGAAAGTAAGTACTACTAAAAAATTAAAAATGGATTAAAAAAACCCTACAACAATAACAAGAAGCCTTTATCCCACTACCTAGGGTTGGCTATATGAATCCTTTTTTGCCTATTGTGCCTTATTAAAAGTCAAATTCTTATTAAATCTAATAAAAAATGTCATTTTTTTTAAAACAATCTTTTTAAGTCCACCTCTACATTTCTTAACATAGGCTAGATCTAATACATTTACTCTCCTAATAAGATCATCGGAAGGTCGACGTTTTATGCAACCAAACCATCGAAGATGACTCTGTTAGACCGGTCCACTGGACCGGTCCAGCCGGTCCGCACAGGACCGGCAAGTTGCAAAGAGCGACCGATCTCCGCCTCCTGCGGAGATCGAGCGGCCCGACCAGCCGAAGAGATCATTTTAGGAAGCTTTTTTTAGCGTTTTGAGAGGGAAATTTGAATGTAGGGACTGTTTAGGGATTTCCTTTTGATTTGTATGCATTAAATAGTAGATTTTTCTAGGGTTTGAGCATCTTGAATTTGGCTGAAATTTGAGATCTCGTAGAACTAGGATTTCTTTGGGCTCTAGCGGCGTCTAGAGATTTGGGAGAGATCGATCCTCCTCTCGAATTGAGGATCAATTGTATCTTTGCTATTTCTTTGCAACTACTAGTAAAATACAAGTCTTTTCTCGGATTTTTCTGCAGTTTTTCCTGCTTTCCTACTGTTTTTGGCTGTTTTTCTGCTGTGGACAGCAATTTTACATTGGATCTACTTGGTTTTGGTGAGAAACACTTGGAAATCCAAGTGTTTCCTATCAGACTCTCTAATCTTATCTGACATTGCAGCTACTCCAACCTTTTCATGTATATACTCATTTCACATTCTATCTCTTAAGAGTAAACACACTCAGTCACTCATCCACTCGAGCATCCTCATCTCTGCAACAATTGAACTTAATTTTATGCTTCTCTTTTCACAACCAACATTCTACACCATAAAACATTGCAGGTCTCACCACCATCTTATAATATTTTCCCTCAAGTTTGAGGGATACTTTTTCCATCACACAATATGCCCAATGCATTCCTCCACTTCAACCATCCAATTTGAATTCTACTAATAATATTCTCATTAATTTCACCATCACTTTAAAAATAGACCCGAGATATCTAAAACATGCCCTTTTTTAATGGCTTGATTAACCAAGATCACAATCCCATCACTAGATCTATTACAACTAAAATTACACTCAATGTGTTCGGTTTTAGATCTACTCAAACGAAAACCTTTAGACTCTAAAATTGACCTCCATAATTTAAGTTTTTCATCAACTTCCTTTATAGTCTTATCAACAAGATGAATATCATTAGCAAAAGAAATAAACTAAGGTACATGCTCTTGCAAATGTCTAGAAAGAACATCCATGACTAAAGTAAAAAATGTGGGCTTAAAGCTGATACTTAATGCAATCCAACTAAAATAGGAAAGTACTTGGTCAAACGATGTTGTATTTGAACATTAGTAATAGCTCTTATATATCCTTAATGACATGAATATAAGCATTATTAACTCGTTCCTTTCTTTTCTAGACCTCTCAAGAAATAGCCTCAATAAAAAAAAATTCAAAATTTTCAAAATGCAATAATAAATAAAGAGATGAAATGGGATACAATGAAGAATATTAATAGAGAATCTCAAATTTTGCATCATTACCTCTTCGGTAGGTTCTAGTATCAACATGGCTAGGTGGGAGGTTTGTTTTACGCTTTCAAACAGTGAGGTGAGTGCTTTAGCTTGATTTGAGATATGAGCTCCTAATTCTAATGCTAAAAATGAGTTAGTTTTTATTAGGATAGTCAAAATCGGGTCACAGGTCGGGTTCGAATCCAACCCAAATTTGACCTGGCTAATTTTGACCCGAACTGATCCGATTTGGAAATCTGGTCACCTTTCCAAATCCGAACTCAACCCGATTCGGGTTCGGGTTGACCCAACCCGACACGTAAGAAAATCGACTCGACAATGGAATGTGGGCATTTCTTCAGTTCATGCGTTTATTCAGCCAAATCCCGTCAATCCATCAACAAGATGAGCGTCGGAATGATGCGACTCAAGCGAGACCAGCATCGGTTGATGGGTCAAGCGACAAAAGAGAATGTGATGCGACTCAAGTGAGGTTTTCGGGTCAAGCCGGGATTGGTTTCGAGTTTCTGAGTCAACCCTAACCCAACCCGTTTCGAGTTCAGGTATAACCAGGGATTTTCGGGTCGGGTTCGAGTGGGGTTTTTGGGTCGTGTCAAATATTGACACCCCCTAGTTTTTATAATAATAACTTGAATGGGATAATCAAAAGAGTATTAATGGTTAGAGCAACTAGGAAACAAGTTTGATCAAACATATGAGCAAAAACTTCAAATATTAGATTAACATTCAACGTAACCCTAACCCTAACCCTTTCCCCCTTAGAGAATACAAAATAAAAGCATAATTACTAAACAACCCTTCCTAAAATAATTTCCCTACTAAATCGCCCCCTTCTATTTGAAATTTTCCATTAAATCATGGGCCAACATGGGAGGCGGCGGCTTCTTGGTCTGCCTGGAATAGACCAAGGGTTGGCTAGACTGGTCCATCTTAGACCAGTTTAACAATACCCCCTTACAAATAACCACTTTGTCCTCAAAGTGGAAGGACGAAAATTAATGCTTCATCCACTCATACGGCTCCCAAGTAGCTTCATAGATTGGTAAGTCTTTCTACTTAATTAGCACTTCCTTACTTCCTCCCTCCCCTTGTCGCACTCCTACCAACTCCAGTGGTTCCAAAACCACCTCCAAATCCTCTATTAATTTTGCTGGTAACTCTGCAGTGGAGGTGTAATCCATTATAGCTCTCTTCAACTATGACAATCCATTATAGCTCGCTTCAACTATGACACGTGGAATATCGGATATATGGTTACGGTCGGCTATAGTTTCGTTCGATACGCCACTGCTCCGATCCTCTCCAATATCTCAAAAGTGTCAAAGTACTGCGGTGCCAGCTTCTCATTCCTCCTACTAGCCACTATCCTCTCCCTGTAGGGACGAAGCTTCAAATACACCATATCCCCTACCTCAAACTTAATATCCTTCCTATGCTCATCAACCGACCTTTTCATAATCTGCTAAGCTCTCAACATATGTCTTTTCAATTCCTCCAGTATCATATCCCGCTCTTCCAAATATTGCTCCACTGAAAAGACTGAAGTGTTACTCTGCCCAAAGTGCACCAAGTGAGGCGGATCTCTGCCATACAACACCTTGAAAGGATCATTTGTGATGCCGAATGGTACAAGGTGTTGTACCAGTACTCTTCCCATGCCAACCACTTAGCCCACAACTAAGGTGTCTCTGAAACAAAGCATTGCAGATATGTTTCTAAGCTCCTATTGACCACCTCCATCTGCCCGTCTGTCTGAGGGTGATAAGCAGTGCTCCTCTTAAGCATAGTCCCCTGCAACCTGAATAACTTCCATCCAAAAGTGACTGAGGAACACTTTGTCTCGATCAGGCACTATAGACTTTAGTATCCTGTGTAATTTGACCACCTCTCTTATGAAAGCTGATGCCACTG